ATGGCCATACATCCCAGGTGGGTCGGGGGTCCAGACCCCCGCAGTCTTGGAATTGTCCCCCCAAATAAATTATGGGAAAACCTTTTTATTTAAGTAAGATCAAATAAAAATGCAATAGAAACAAATAACAAAGTAAATCTTCAATTCATCTAAGAAAAGAATAATAATTCATTTTAAGGTTCCCTCACCATTCTTAAAACAATGGTTCAGTCCAAAGTGTAGGAGGAGCAACAGCACAGGCTTCATTAGAGCCTCTGAAGTGAGGAGCTAGCTGCTAGCTGTGGCAAACAAAAAACCCCACTAAGTAAACACTTAAAGCAAGAGACATGCAACACATTTTATTTACTTTCACTGCTCAATAGGAAGAAACACACTGACAAAAATCAGATTGCAGTTAGTTCATTTCATTACTTTGGTTAAATTAATAAACTGCATTATTATGCCTTGAATAAAAAGTAGTGAAAATGGCTACATTGCTTTCATAGACTTAACTCCTTCTTCTGTCAAATGTGGCCAATATTTCAATTATGTTTAGTTCTCTAACTCTTACTTTAGTAAGAAGAGTTTGAAACTGGAGGGGCTGAGTGTTTCCACTAGCCGACAGCTCCTTATGTGAGCCGAGAGCAGAGGGGCTATTGAAGCTGATAGTAATACAACATAAAGAATGCCTTTATTTCTTATCATCTTCAATTTAGAGACTTTAAAACCACAAATAAAATGCGTAAATTTTTCTAGGAAACTTTGGTGCTCAGCCTTAAGTTCAGGTTATGATGCCTCCCAAATATTCAGTTTCTACATATTTATTGGTTCTCAGTTGTCTAGGATATGAAAAAAACATATCACAGTTCCACACTGGAACTCACTGAGTTCCTGAAGGCAACCCATTCTTTCACAAATGTTTGTGAAAACAGTCTACATGCCTTGGTGCTTACTTTCAAACACCTCTGGCAATGTAAGGTTTTGGAACACTTGTTTACGATTATTTGGATTGGTGGTCAAATACTTTTGGCAATCTCTGCCAGCAGCTAGTGGATAGAAATCATTAGGATAAAGAACATTTTACCTGAGAGCTTCCAGGTTGCAGTTTGGACTCTTCAGTCCAGCAGAAAGAAGTTTCACTCCTGAATCCTGCAGCTTGTTGTTACTCAGGTCCAGTTCTCTGAGACTGGAGGACTGGGAGCTGAGAACTGAGGACAGAGCTTCACAGCTTCTCTCTGAGAGGTTACAGCCACTCAGTCTGAGGAGACAGGGAGGAAAATATGTTATTAAACAATTCATAAAAATATGTTCTTTCAAATCAATTATGTTTTTATTGGAGAGAGAAGGAACTATCTTATTTTAAACAACCTTGCATTTATTGTAAACTGGTTCATTCTATAGTTGGACCTCCAGCATTAAAGGACTGAAAAATAGATAACACAGAGGTTGGAAAGTTTTATTAATCCAGTTTCACTATTAAAAGAGGAGGAGTTTTGCTGCTTCGATATGTAATACTATGTCCATCTATTTCTTTTTTGAGCAACTCAACAGTGGGACACTTTGAAGAGACAATGCACCAATATATAATCTCATAATTACCTCATATTTAGCAGCTTTATATCTATCATCAAACATGCATTAACAATCTGTCCTTACAGAGCTTTGTTGGAGGCTTTAACCACTGGCAGCAGCCTCAGAAGAACCTTCTCTGAAGCAGAGTATTTCTTCAGGTCAAACACATCCAGATCTTTTCCTGATGACACTAAGATGAAACCCAGAGCTGACCACTGAGCAGGAGACACTTTATCTGGGGAGAGAGTCCTGAACTCAGAGACTGTTGGATCTCCTCCACTAGAGAACGATCATTCAGTTCATTCAGACAGTGGAACAGATTGATGCTTTTTCTGCAGACACATTTTCACTGATCGTCTTCTTGATGTACTGAACTGTTTTCTGATTGGTCTGTGAGCTACTTCCTGTCTTTGTCACCAGACCTTGTAGGAGTCTCTGATTGGTCTGCAGTGAAAGTCCCAGGAGGAAGCGGAGGAACAAGTCCAGGTGTCCATTTGGACTCTGTAAGGCCTGGTCAACAGCTCTCTGATGGAGAGACTTTAGTTTAGGTAAATTAAATAATGAAGATTTCTTAGATGTTTGTTTTTCTTCCATCAGGTTGACACCAGAGTTGATGAAGGTCAGATGAACATGAAGAGCAGCCAGAAACTCCTGAACACTCAGATGGACGAAGCAGAACACCTTGTCCTGGTACAGACCTCTCTCCTCTTTAAAGATCTGTGTGAACACTCCTGAGTACACTGAGGCTGCTCTGATATCGATGCCACACTCTGTCAGGTCTGATTCATAGAAGATCAGGTTTCCTTTCTGCAGCTGATCAAAAGCCAGTTTTCCCAGAGACTTGATCATCTTCCTGCTCTCTGGACTCCAGTGTGGATCTGTTTCAGCTCCTCCATCATACTTGACTTTCTTCACTTTGGTCTGAACCACCAGGAAGTGGATGTACATCTCAGTCAGGGTTCTGGGCAGCTCTCCTCCCTCTCTGGTCTCCAACACATCCTCCAGAACTGCAGCAGTGATCCAGCAGAAGACTGGGATGTGGCACATGATGTGGAGGCTTTGTGATGTCTTCATGTGGGAGATGATCCTGCTGGCCTGGTCCTCATCTCTGAATCTCTTCCTGAAGTACTCCTCCTTCTGAGGGTCATTGAACCCTCTGACCTCTGTCACCATCCCAACACACTGAGGAGGGATCTGATTGGCTGCTGCAGGTCGTGTGGTTATCCAGAGGAGAGCAGAGGGAAGCAGTTTCCCCTGATGAGGTTTGTCAGCAGAACATCCACTAAGGTGGACTCTGTAGCATCAGTCAGGATCTCCTTGTTGTGGAAGTCCAGTGGAAGTCGACTCTCATCCAAGCCATCAAAGATGAACAGAACCTGAAAGTGTTCAAAGCTGCAGATTTCTTTGGTTTCACTAAAGAAATGATGAACAAGTTCCACCAAGCTGAACTTTTTCTCTTCAGCACATTCAGCTCTCTGAACGTGAATGGAAATATGAACTGGATGTTCTGGTGGGCTTTGTCTTCAGCCCAGTCCAGAGTGAACTTCTGTGTTAGGACTGTTTTCCCAATGCCAGCCACTCCCTTTGTCATCACTGTCCTGATTGGTTGATCTCTTCCAGGTGGGACTTTAAAGATGTCTTCTTGTCTGATTGTTGTTTCTGGTCTGTGTGGTTTCCTGGATGCTGTTTCAATCTGTCTGACCTCATGTTCATCATTGACCTCTCCAGTTCCTCCCTCGTGATGTAGAGCTCTGTGTAGATCTGGTTCAGAAGGGTTAGACTTCCTGCTTTAGCAGTTCCCTCAAACACAGACTGGAACTTTTTCTTCAGACCAGATTTAAGTTGATGTTGACAAACTGGAGCAAAAATTCCTAAATTAACACAATAACAAAAATCAGATATGAAAGAAAATTATCTTTTGAATTTAATTACATAACTTCACCAAATGTGTAATTTATCTATCATTTCAAATCTCTTTAGAAATCCTCTTACTGGTCTGCAGATGGTCAGCCAGCTTTTCCTGCTTCATCCTCCTCAGGAAGTTCAGTGTGATCTTCATCACTGCCTCTCTGATGCTCCTCCTCTGCTCTTCATCATCACCTTCCAACTCCTCATCATCTCTCTGACTCTCTGAATATTCTGGGTAATCTGGACTCAGAACCTTCTGGATCTTCTTCAGTTCTTTCTTCACAAAAGTAACAATGTTGTCCTCCAGCAGCTGGAACAGAATAATAGATGAAGGAAACATCAGAGTGAAATCATGGAGCCAAACACCAGATGGATGTTGGACAGACTGACAGTCCTCTGGTCTACAAAGTGCAGCATGAAGGTGACTTTGAACAGAACTAATGGAAAAGTATTTGTTGTTCATATACAGACCATAAATATGGAGTCCAGCTGTGTTTGATGCTGCTGGGCAGATGGACCCCTGGGAACCTCTGAGTTCTGCTGGTCCACTCTGTGGAGGAACCAGGAACAATTAGGAAGTCAGGAAATATTCATCCAGCAGTATTCACAGAGGAAATCACCAGGAGTTTCACATTAAAAGTCCTTAATATAGAAAAACAGAGCATCACATGAACATAATTCAAAGTTAGAAAGAGGAAGATGATCTACACTGATGAATACCAGTAACACCAGAATAATCCAGTAGCCATCTTAAAAAAGTTGGTGTTGAACTTGGACTTCAAACAGTCCAAACTGTCAGCAGATCTGATGCTGGTGGAGACAGTTTCCCAGAGCTTGGGGACAGTGGAAGTGAAGGCTCTGTCCACACAGGTCTTCAGGACAGTGTGGGACATCCATCAGGTTCTGATGACTAGATCTGAGGTGATGTGGACATGGAGGAGGTCTGAAATATGTGGGTGTTTCCATGTTGGATCTTCTCCTGGATGTTATAGAAAGGATTTTAAAATGGATCCTGTAGATCCCTGGAAGCCAGTGAGCTCACATTGTATCTGTCCACACAGAGACAATCAGAAGGTAAAGGACCATGAAGTGATATCTGGATGTGAGCAGTGAACCAGGTGATCTAAGTAGGTGTAAAGATTTAATGTTCCTGCTGATCCCATTAAGAACCAGCAGAACCTCTGATGGTCCACATCAGCTCAGTTTGGTTGAGTTCCAGCAGATCTCACCAACCACATCATGAAGCTTTCCTTCCCTGCTGAACTGCTCTCACAATGCACACAGGAACCAAGTCCTGATGGACCAGAATGGCTTTACCAGGTATTTCCCAGTGGAAATGTGATCCACTGTTAGTCTGACATGGAGCCAGGAAGCAACAGAACATCATCATCAACATCCAGATAAAGATATGAAGGTGTTTTCATGAGAACAGAGCAGCTGATTTCTGTAGATAATGGATCAAACCTCTGGAAAAATAACTGGAAACATCTGAGTTCTTACTGGTTCAGTTTCCAGAGTTACAGCAATTAGATACAGCTCACCTCTCTGATGGTGGAGATCCAGGAGATTTAAAGTGAATGATTGGACTCTTTGACCTGTCACTCTTAAAGGAGACACAGCTGGGTTCTGGTTCTAGTTCTGGTTTGCATCTCTGATGGATCCTGACAGAAACATGATGATTAAAACTTAATCAGCAAAGAGGAGCAGCAGCAGCTTCATCACCACGTCTGTTCTGGCCTGATATAGTGAACGCTGTGTGAAAAGGGCTGTGGACAGTTAGAGATGGTGACCTCACCTCTGACCTTTGCTCTGGCTCTCATCTTCCCCACACAGAGTGGTTTTAGAGGGAGGGACTCCCTCCTCTCTGTCCTCACCCTGATCCATGCTGCTGAATCCACATCAGCTCACACACACTTTCTAGCTTCACCTGCAGAGGAAACACACATCATTCATCTGCACATCAACTCTGATCATCCTTTACATCATTAGTGCTGGAAAAAGATCAGCTGCTGCTCCTCTGATTGGCTCTTCTTCTCTGCTTCATATCAGTGTCAGGTGAATGCAGTCAGACAGCAGAGAGGCAGAGGAAGCTGCCATCAGCTGCTGCACTTCTACTATCAGTCCACTAGATGGAGACATGGAGCAACATTTACATTCACTGATTCAACCTGAACAAGTCTTATAGTTCACAATTCGTAATTTATAGAAGTGGATTATTTGCTCAATTAAAGATGAACTATTTAATCATCTGAATCAAACCCATTTTAATAACATTTTATTTTGAAAGGAAGCAACAGGAAACTGTTGCTGACATTAATGGTGGAGACTAGAGTTCAGTACCAGGAATAAAAAAATGAGTCAGTTCTGAGAAGAAAACTGAAACATCAGCTGTTCATCATGTTGATTGATTCCAGTTCATCAATAATCTAATAATCCTGTAGATTAGCCTTCAAACAGCAGATATTAAAGACTCAGCTGAAATCAATAGTGAAACTTTTATACAAACATCAGAGATTAGAAACAATCAGGAAAAAGTTAAAGTGATGAAAAAGTTTGAGAAATAAACAAATCAAAACTTACAGTTTGTTCAAACGATCCAAAGAATTAAAGAAGAAAATTTAAACAACAACTGAGACCAACAAACAGGTGAAACTGAGCCACACCCAAACAGGTGAATCCAAACTGAAAGTAAATGTGATGGATGTGTATACTAATGATGTCACAGCTCACCTGACTTGTAGTTTTTTTCTTTCAGAGCAACAGAACCAGGAAGTTGAAGCTCTGAGGTGAAATCAGAGGCAGGTTTAAATTAAAATTAAAGCAGCAACAATCCTCCTTACAATAAATATGTCAAAAATGAAAGAAACAAATTAAAACTAATAGAAAATGATTTATTTAGAATGAATATTAAAACAATTGTACAAATGTATTATAATTTGTAGTATGACTTGCTTTACATTTTATTGTAACATATGATGGTGGTCTTGTGTATCTTCCCTTCCAGTGTTTGATCACAGAATGGATGACCTGAGTGAATTCCTGAGACAAAGAAATATTCCTGAGGAAACTATTGAGACCAGGCTGAGAGAGAAGGTACAAGCTAAAAAATGATCAGTATTTCAAAAACTACAGTTTTTTAAGGCATGTGTCCAGCAATGTTATGTAATTTAATTCAAATAATCTGCATGTAATTCTAGTTCCATCAGTTTTAAAATAAATTATTTGTTATTCTCCTTGTTTAGATTGATACCAGCGTCATCCAACTCATGACAGATGAAGAGCTAAAGAATGATTTGCCATCGTATGGAGACCGCATCGCCCTATTAGGATCCTGTAAAAGGAAGGAAAATGGCCCCCAAACAGTCGCAAAGCAAAACTGTTTGAGCGCCTGAAATCAAAGCTGGGTAAAAGGAAAACTGCTCATCAAGATGGTTGTGGTCTGGAAAAAGAAGAGCAATCTGAAACAAACATTAGGAAGAAAGCTCTGAAGTCAAAGAGACAAATAGAAACAGGCTGGCTGCTTTATGATGAAGACCAACAGGCTTTTAAACAAGTCAGAGCAAGAAGAGGTGGTGGAACAAGGAGGGTTTCAAAGGATGCTAAAAAAAAGTGAGATCATCCACAAAGCTGTTGGCATTTTCTTTCCAAATGGAAGAAATAGACGGGTCCAGAGCAGATTTTGAAATAGATCTGAAAGATTATCAGGAAGTGGCAGTTGATGACAAAATGACTGCTGGACAAATGTTTCATGTTACCAAACTGACTGTTGTCAGGTTTTACCTGACCATCCATAAAAAGAAGGCTGACCAGTCAGTCAGTCAAGATGAAGTTTTGCCTTCAGCATTTTTTCAGGATCAAGACAGTTCTGTGAGTCGGCCCTCCTCTTCCTCTGCTGTTAATGTTGCAATGACCAGCCAATCCACAATGTCCAAAGAAGGAACTCCTGACTTCCTATTTATTGGAATCAAAACTTCCTGAGAGCAGCTAATGATTAATGCTGGTTCTGGTTGGCTTTTGGATTTTTTCTCCAAAGAGAAAAATGTTCTGCAGGTTCTGAGTTTCAGGTAGAAGTTCTGAATGAAACAGAAAATATTAAGATATTCCCAATTTATGCTTCAAAGCATTGACCTCTGACCTTCAAGGGATTGGAATGTTTTACTATATTTAGGACTTTCTGAAAGGCAGAGTTGATGAAAAAAATCTTTTTAATGCAAATATTTAAATTTGAACAGGAAAAGAGCAGAATGAGCAGCAAATGAACCAAATGCAGAAAAAAAAATTACTTAAAACACATGAAGAAAAATAGCAGCAAATTTACAAAAGGAATATTTAATATTCAAATCTGACATGTTGAGAAAAATAGGAGCCGATAGAAACAGAAAATGATCAGAATGAGAAAAACTGATCGATGTTTCAATGAAATATGATGAATGAAAGGAAAAAATGAGAGAAACAACATCTTGATATTCAATGTGAATCTTTGACTGGAAATAAACAGAAAAACATGAGGATCCTGGAATAATCCTGGAATTATCCTGGAATTGTCCCAGCTTCCATCTTTAAAGGAGTGGAAGATGAAAAAGTTTCCAAGGACTCAATCAGAATCATTTCACCAAGAAATAGATTGTAGAGACTGAACTATCTGTTCAACAGTGAGAGAGTTTCTCTGACAGGAGGAAAAACTTTAGACTCTTTAGACTCAAATCAGAACAGAATCACTGAAGAGGAACCAGAACTGGGCTTCCAGACCCCAAATCCAGGAATCAGAGGTTCAGTGAATGTGGTGTTGAAGGTGTGGAGGAGGATCAGTGAGTCAGAGGAGACTCTGTAGAAGGACAGAATGCCAGCAGGACAGTCCACATACACTGCTACTCTGTTAGAGACAGAAGAGGAGGAGAGACAAGTTTCTATGTTATTGTGCCAGACAGAGTAACCAACATAATCAGAACAGCTCAGACTCCAGGAATGATCATTCCCTCCAAACACACAGTCACCATTGTCGCCTTTCCTCCTGATTCTTCTGTAACTCACTGATATATAAACTTCTCCTCTCCACTTGACCTCCCAGTAACAGCGACCAGTCAGACCAGTTCTACACAGCAGCTGAGGATCATCAAATCTGTCTGGATGATCAGGATATGACTGAAGCTCCTCCACATATGTCACCTTCCTGTTGCCTTCAGACAGTTGGAGGAATTTGTTCACTGTGTTTGTGTCGATGGTGAGTTGACAGGAATCTGGTGGAGAGAACAAACACAATCCAGCTGCAGTTATTGATCATTTATTGACACTTTGACTCCTGAATGAGTGATGTGACAGTTTGAAGATGGTTGAATGTGAGCTGCTTTTGTTGTCATGAATCAGATGAAAAACACACTTACATTTCTTCAGATCTGGAGTCAAGAATCGGCCTCCAGCAGGCTCCACCCTGAAAGGAGGAGGGGGGTCAGACCATCAGTCTCTTTCAGCAGCAAACATGGACATTACATGTCTCTCAGACACACATTGTCCTCCACTGAGACAGGAACAGCCCAACATCTGGATTGCAAACTGCAGTGGATGTAGGAAGGACAGTTGGTGCTGCTGCAGCACAACTCATTTCTCCAAATACAGGAAAAGCTCCAACAGAGAGGAGAAAGGAAATCCCTCAGTAACAACCTGAAGAAACTCACTAAACTCACTAAAAGGACATCAGGAAACTAAGGAAACATTTCTGGAAGCTCAACCTGATTTAATAATCAGCATTAAAATACAATCAATCTAACTCTGATCAACACCTGGATACCTGATCCATCCACACTCCCACACACAGATGAAGGAATGAAACACTAAACAGCCCTGCTGCTGAAAACCTGCTGTGGCCTCACAGTAATATCCAGAAATACAAACATTAAAAAGGAGAAGCTGCATCACATTCAACAAAGATTCAACAAGAATCAAACATTTTAAACTGATAAACATTCAGCTTCAAACTAAATGTTTCCCAGCAGACTGACTAAAGACATTCTCCCTCTTCCTCCTCTATCAGACCTTCTCTGCTCCTGCAGCAGGTTCCTCCATACCTGAGAGCTTCCAGTCTCCAGTGTGGATCCTTCAGTCCAGCCGACAGCAGCTTCACTCCTGAGTCTCCTGGATGATTGTAGCTCAGGTCCAACTCTTTCAGATGGGAGGGGTTGGAGGTCAGAGCTGAGGTCAGAGAAGCACAGCCTTCCTCTGAGACCAAACAGCCTGATAAGCTGCAGACACACAATTCATCACATGATGAGAAAATGAGAACATTGAGGTAGAACCCAAGGTCTGAACTGATGGATGGATGGATGGATGGATGGATGGATGGATGGATGGATGGATGGATGGATGGATGGATGGATGGATGGATGGATGGATGGATGGATGGATGGATGGATGGATGATGGATGGATGGATGGATGGATGGATGGATGGATGGATGGATGGATGGATGGATGGATGGATGGATGGATGGATGGATGATGGATGGATGGATGGATGGATGGATGGATGGATGGATGGATGGATGGATGGATGGATGGATGGATGGATGGATGGATGGATGGATGGATGGATGGATGGATGGATGGATGGATGGATCTGTAATTATGCTTCTTTTTGCACCTTAGATGCAACAATTTGTCAAGAGTCCAGAGTTACCTGAGAGTTTCCAGGTTGCAGTTTGGACTCTTCAGTCCAGCAGAGAGAAGCTTCACTCCTGAATCCTGCAGGTTGTTCTTACTCAGGTCCAGTTCTCTGAGACTGGAGGACTGGGAGCTGAGAACTGAGGACAGAGCTTCACAGCTTCTCTCTGAGAGGTTACAGCCACTCAGTCTGAGGAGACAGGGAGGAAAATCTGTTCATAAAAATGAATATTTTTCAATGTTTCTCATGGACAGAGAAGGATCTATCTTATTTTACACATATTTATGATGCCTTCATTGTGAAATGGGTTAATTTTGTAATTTTAAACCTTACAGTTTAGAACTAAAGGCAACAAGGAGGGTGGAAAGAGAATTAGAAAATTCCACAATTAACTAAATTAATACAATGTAAATTTTGACATAAAGAGTTTTGCTGCTTTAATATGTAATAGTATTCTCTGCTGCTGAAGTAGGTCTCTATCTCCTGTATATATCCCCCCAGTGAGTCACTTTGAAGAGACAATGCACCAATATATGAACTGAAACATGAATATACATTTACCTCATCATATGTCTGTCAAAAATAACTGCATTAACAATCTGTGTCCTTACAGAGCTTTGTTGGAGACTTTAACCACTGGCAGCAGTATCAGAAGAACTCCTCTGAAGCAGAGTATTTCTTCAGGTCAAACACATCCAGATCTTTTCCTGATGACACTAAGATGAAGATCAGAGTGACCACTGAGCAGGAGACAGTTTATCTGTGGAGAGACTTCCTGAACTCAGAGACTGTTGGATCTCCTCCACTAGAGAACGATCATTCAGTTCATTCAGACAGTGGAACAGATTGATGCTTTTCTCTGCAGACACATTCTCATTTATCTTCTCCTTGATGTACTGAACTGTTTCCTGATTGGCCTGTGAGCTACTTCCTGTCTTTGTCAACAGACCTTGTAGGAGTCTCTGATTGGTCTGCAGTGAAAGTCCCAGGAGGAAGCGGAGGAACAAGTCCAGGTGTCCATTTGGACTGTAAGGCCTGGTCAACAGCTCTCTGATGGAGAGATTTTTAGTTTAGGTTTATTAAAAAATGTAGATTTCTTAGAAGTATGTTTTTCTCCAATCAAGATGATGCCAGAGTTAACTGAAGCACGATGAATATGAAGAGCAGCCAGAAACTCCTGAACACTCAGATGGACAAAGCAGAACACCTTGTCCTGGTACAGACCTCTCTCCTCTTTAAAGATCTGTGTGAACACTCCTGAGTACACTGAGGCTGCTCTGATATCGATGCCACACTCTGTCAGGTCTGATTCATAGAAGATCAGGTTTCCTTTCTGCAGCTGATCAAAAGCCAATTTTCCCAGAGACTTGATCATCTTTCTGCTCTCTGGACTCCAGTGTGGATCTGTTTCAGCTCCTCCATCATACTTGACCTTTTTCACTTTGGTCTGAACCACCAGGAAGTGGATGTACATCTCAGTCAGGGTTCTGGGCAGCTCTCCTCCCTCTCTGGTCTCCAACACATCCTCCAGAACTGTAGCAGTGATCCAGCAGAAGACTGGGATGTGGCACATGATGTGGAGGCTTCGTGATGTCTTCATGTGGGAGATGATCCTGCTGGCCTGTTTCTCATCTCTGAGTCTCTTCCTGAAGTACTCCTCCTTCTGTCGGTCATTGAACCCTCTGACCTCTGTCACCATGCCAACACACTGAGGAGGGATCTGATTGGCTGCTGCAGGTCGTGTGGTTATCCAGAGGAGAGCAGAGGGAAGCAGTTTCCCCCTGATGAGGTTTGTCAGCAGAACATCCACTGAGGTGGACTCTGTAGCATCAGTCAGGATCTCCTTGTTTGTGGAAGTCCAGAGGAAGTCGACTCTCATCCAAGCCATCAAAGATGAACAGAACCTGGAAGTGTTTAAAGCTGCAGATTTCTTTGGTTTCAGTAAAGAAATGATGAAACAAGTTCCACCAAGCTGAACTTTTTCTCTTTCAGCACATTCAGTTCTCTGAACGTGAATGGAAATATGAAACTGGATGTTCTGGTGGGCTTTGTCTTCAGCCCAGTCCAGAGTGAACTTCTGTGTTAGGACTGTTTTCCCAATGCCAGCCACTCCCTTTGTCATCACTGTTCTGATTGGTTGATCTCTTCCAGGTGGGACTTTAAAGATGTCTTCTTGTCTGATTGTTGTTTCTGGTCTGTTTGGTTTCCTGGATGCTGTTTCAATCTGTCTGACCTCATGCTCATCATTGACCTCTCCAGTCCCTCCCTCTGTGATGTAGAGCTCTGTGTAGATCTGGTTCAGAAGGGTTGGACTTCCTGATTTAGCAATCCCCTCAAACACAGACTGGAACTTCTCCTTCAGACCAGATTTAAGTTGATGATGACAAACTGCAGCCAAATGTCCTAAAATAACACAATAACGAAAATCAGACATGAAAGAAAATCATCTTTTGCATTTGATTACATCATTTCAGCAAACCTGTAATTTATCTATCATTTCAAATCTCTTTAGAAATCCTCTTACTGCTCTGAAGATGGTCAGCCAGCTTTTCCTGCTTCATCCTCCTTAGGAAGTTCAGTGTGATCTTCATCACTGCCTCTCTGCTGCTCCTCCTCTGTTCTTCATCATCACCTTCCAACACCTCATAATCTCTCTGACTCTCTGAATGTTCTGGGTAATCTGGAATCAGAACTTTCTGGATCTTTCTCAGTTCTTTCTTCACAAAAGTGACAATGTTGTCCTCCAGCAGCTGGAACAGAATAATAGATGAAGGAAACATCAGAGTGAAATCATGGAGCCAAACACCAGATGATGTTGGACAGACTGACAGTCCTCTGGTCTACAAAGTTCAGCATGAAGGTTACTTTGAACAGAACTCATGGAAAATAGTTGTTGTTCATATACAGACCATAAATATGGAGTCCAGCTCTGTTTGATGCTGCTGGGCAGATGGACCCCTGGGAACCTCTGAGCTCTGCTGGTCCACTCTGTGGAGGAACCAGGAACAATTAGTCAGGAAATACTTCCTAAATACTTCAGCAGTATTCACATATGAAATCACCAAGAGTTTCACATTAAAAGTCCTTAAAGTAGAAAAAAGACACAATACAAAGACATTTGAAAACAGGAAGATGAAATAGAAGAACACCAGAATCACCCATTACATATTTTTAAAAGTTGACGCTGAATTTCAAACAGTTCAGACTGTCAGCAGATCTCATGCTGGTGGAGCCAGTGTCCCAGAGCTTGGGAAGCAGAAGAGGTCATGCAATCATTTGAATCAGATGTTACAGAATAGAAACACATCTAAAACATGAAGAGCAGGGAGGGCTGAGGACTGGAATTGAGGCGCACATTAAAGGAAAATAACCTGGAATTCTGCATAAGTTTCCTTAACAACAGAACCCATCAGAACTTGGTATTGTCACATGGTTAAGAATAAAAGAGGAATAACTTGATTTAGCTAATTAATTTTCCTCTTTTGTCTCGGATTCTTGAGTCTAAGTGTGTGTAGGGAGAAAAAGCAATCATACGGCATCAGATTTCAAATATCTAGAGCTTTATCCAAAAACGTTCAAATACATGCAGAATAACAAACCACCATTTACACCCAGATTATTATGAAGTCAAACACATGACAAAACATAATATTACCTGATTCAAAAATGCATTTTTGGGAACCACTCACTCAGCACCAAGCGATACAAAATTCTCTGTTGTAAACGAAAACTTTTATAAGCCTGTGTCTTTCTCTAAATTTAAATATATGCATTAGGAGGTGAGTTTTTCCCTTTGTGGGGGCTGTCTTAATTTTGATTTTATTACCTCTCGGGCCTGCTAAAAACACCCAGATCTTCTCGTACCAGGCTCTTGCCCAGGCCTTGATTTACAGCATGCAGCTGGAGCGTTCTCTGCCTCAAATGATTCAACAAGAAAGTAGTTTGTATTTTAAACAACTCGCACAACATATAATGCTAAATACTAAATAATAACTATAAGTTTGGATCTAAGAACGAAAGTGTTTCCTTTTTAAAGAACTCTTTTTGAGGATATCAGAAATATTTTACAGTCAAGTAGTTTTCTAAATCTATTGTATTCAGTAATAAAATGCATGCAAATAGTATGATTACAAAATAACTAATTCAAAACATGTGGTTTAATACTTTATCTCTTACTATATATTTTAATTCTAGTATGGATAAGATTATTTATAAAAAGTTTAAGATCGTAGTGAACTTTGAACCACACTAAGGAATTTGTTAATTGCCTGGCCTGCAGCCCCCCTGTCTGTTAAGGAAGTGCAAGCCTGTCTTTCTGTAAACCCTCCTGATAGAATTTATGTAAAATCCGAGAGTGGCCAGTTGTTTTGGGTTTGGATCTTTATCTAGATTTATGTGCACATAGAGTGTATTTTACGTTTCCTTGGTATATTTCATATGCATCAACGCTTACCTTGTGCACTATTGTGCTAATTAAAAACCATATTTCAACAATGGCCACACATCCATCCATTTTTTACGCCCTTATTCCTTGCGGGTCGGGAGGTGCTGATGCCTATCTCCAGCTACGTTCTGGACAAAAGCGGGGTACACCCTGGACAGGTCGCCAGTCTGTTGCAGGGCAACACAGAAACAGACAGGACAAACAACTACGCATACACACACTCGCACCTAGGGAGAATTTGGTTAACAATTAACCTAACTGTCATGTTTTTGGACTGGAGTATGTGGAGAGAACACACACACGCACGGGGAGAACATGCAAACTCCATGCAGAAATTCCCCAGGCTGTAAATCGAACCCAGGACCATTGTTGCTGTGCTACCAACTGGGCCACTGTGCAGCGTCACATAGCCACCATGACAGATATAAACAGAACAGTTATAGCAGTTAGAAACGGCTCACCTCTCTGATGGTGGAGATCCAGCAGATTTAAATTCAATGATACGACCCATTGACATGTCGCTCTTAAAGGAGACAAGCTGGGTTCTGGTTCTGGTTCTAGTTTGAGTCTCTGATGGATCCTGACAGAAACATGATGATTAAAACTTAATCAGCAAAGAGGAGCAGCAGCAGCTTCATCACCACGTCTGTTCTGGCCTGATATAGTGAACGCTGTGTGAAAAGGGCTTGTGGACAGTTAGAGATGGTGACCTCACCTCTGACCTTTGCTCTGGCTCTCATCTTCCCCACACAGAGTGGTTTTAGAGGGAGGGATCCCTCCTCTCTGTACTCACACCAATTCATGCTGCTGAATTCACATCAGCTCACACACACTTTCTACCTTCACCTGCAGAGGAAACACACATCATTCATCTGCACATCAACTCTGATCATCCTTTACATCATTAGTGCTGGAAAAAGATCAGCTGCTCCTCCTCTGATTGGCTCTTCTTCTCTGCTTCATATCAGTGTCAGGTGAATGCAGTCAGACAGCAGAGAGGCAGAGGAAGCTGCCATCAGCTGCTGCACTTCTACTATCAGTCCACTAGATGGAGACATGGAGCAACATTTACATTCAAACACACAGAGTAAACCTGAAACAACAGGAAGTATGTTAGTTAGTTAATTATAAATCTCTACAAGTGGATTGTCTGCTGCATCAAAGTTCAACTATTTAATAATCCGACTGAATCAAAGACATTTTAAGAATATTTCAATTTGAAACACAGCAGCAAAAAACTGTTGTGTTTTACATTAATGGTTGAAACTGGAGTTGATTTTGGAAATAAAATGATGAATGAGTTTACTTAGAGAATAAAATAAAGAAACATCAAGCTGTTCTTCATGTTTTATTTTCCAATTTATCAATAATTTAATAATCCTGTAGATTAGCTTTCAAACAGCAGAGATGAAACTGAGCTGAATTTAAAAGTGAACATTTTCTCTAAATGTCAGAACAGAAACAAGTAGAAAAGTTTATGTAGATAAACTTCAAGTAGAAGCAAAACAGACTTACAGTTTGTTCAAACTGTCCAAAGAGTTGAAGACGAATATCTGAACAACAGACCAAAACCCAACAGAACCGCAGGAGAACCAGACTAATGCCACACCTGTACAGAGACTCAACAGAACTGAACTTTTACCTGAACAACAAGAGTTCAAAGTCAAAGTGTTATAAATGTTGCATAAGTGAATATATGACGACTCACCTGGTTTGTAGTTTCTTCTTTCAGAGCAGCAGAAGGTTTGCTGTAAAATCAGAGGCAGGTTGATGAATTTTTTCAGACAGGAGAGAAGTTCTGATGAAAATGTTTCATGATGGAGTCATGAGGAGAAAAGAGTCCAGAGAAAAGAGCAGCTGGTTGATTCCTGCTGCAGTAACTGGTCAGAATATAAATACATACAGGAAATAATCAGGAAAAACTAAACTAAGCTATAATCCTTAACACCACCACACTACTGCAGCTGAAACCACACATTGTTCTAATGCAGATTATTCCTAACGCTCCTATATAATCATTGATCATGATGTTAGTGAGGTGAGCAGAGTGAGGACAGTCTCTGGTTAAAACCAGGATCAGCTGAGGAGGTTCTGCTAATCCAGGTTGAAACCCTGATTTCATTTCAATCATCAACCTGAATTTAAAGTCAGAGTCAGATCAAGTAGCAGAGAGGTGGCAGTTTGTTCCAGGCTCATTATTTACACATGCAGCTGTTTTCCAGCTGTTCTCCTTCACAGCTAGAGGGAGGGGGGATGTTTGGAGGAGAGAACCTGAACATTCAACCTCCAGGTTTTACAGCTGGATTCTGAGCTTAGCAGCTGGAACAACGACACAGATTAAACCAATGACTCCTGGAAAATGGGATGTTTGACTCTTTTGTTGACCAAAAAGAGTCAACAAAGTGACTCTTTTTGGTCACTTTGTTGTTCACCAACTGTGTTTCTTGTCGGCATCATTTTATTATTGGCGGTTTCTCTTAAGGGGAATCCAGAAAATGAGAAAATTTGCCAACTAATCATCAATGTCACGGGAGCGTGGAGCCACCGGAATTCCCACCACCACATGATTTACAAAATAAAAGTCGACGAGTAAACTAGTCAAAATCCTTTAAAAAATAAAAATAGTTTTACACCCAGTAACAGTACATTACAATAAACACTAATTAAACACAACAATTTAATTCACATAAAGATTAATGCAGTAATCAACATTGTAACAAACATTTCAAACAGATCCTCATAAAATCTGAATGTTCAGTAGATTGATTTTATTTTCTGAACTTTTCAAAGTTTTACTTTAAAAACTTAATAAAAACAGAAATGTTCAATCTCCCAAATGTAAATACAATAAAAACAATAGAATAATTCAGTTTAAATGTAATTATTTGAAGCAGAACCAAGTATGATCAATAATGTAATCATTCACAAGTTCCCCAAATGTTGCTTCTTTCAAAATGGAAAAGATTTCAATGAACTTCTGAATCATCATATTACTCCTGGGTAGAGACGCTCCCATCAGGGTTTTTCCTGCCGGTTCTGATCACCATGAGGTCCGATCACTGATGATCACATATATCGATCACATGGATTGGCTGTTAATGTTTCACTTTAGGTAGAAATGCTACTATGTGATCTGGCAAAATGGAGCCATAAAATCACCTCATTTAGACAAAAACATGTATAATACTTGCAGCTCATGGCTGATTGGTCTGGTTCTGTTGGGTTGTTTTTGACCCAGTAGAGTAATTCAGCAGAACATAGGGAGGAGGCGGAGAAACTTCATTTGTTCTCTCAGTAAAAGTAAATTGTATTATTATTAAACAAATATTTGTTGTCTCATTTATCTTTACAATGTATCTTGTCTTATATGCTTTCATTTGTTTTGTTTCATCTTAGAATTAAGAATCTTTCTGTATTGTTGAATTACTCTGATTCCTTTCTCAAAAGGCCTCACTGAAGGAAATCAGTGACAACAGATTGATATGACTATGAAGATGTACAACTTGCTCTGTTTAACCCTGTGTCTGGAAAAAGATGATCTAGTGCAAGATACCTTGTGTTTTAGTTAGTGATTGTCATCGGCGCTGTAGCTATGTGATGAAGTGTTTTCCCCTCCCTTTAGAGTTACAGCATTTCTTTGTGATTAGGGATCCTGAAAGCAATAAGAGAGGAGCAGGGAAATGTGGTTTCAGAGCGATAGGAGATTGTAACTGAAAGCACATCTCAGTCTGTTCTCTTCGCGAGTGACAGATAATCTCTCTTGTCTTTTTTGTGTTTGTTTAATCTGTGTTTAATAGGTGTTAAACCTGACACTCAGATTATCTCATGTTAGGACATTGAGAAAGTTACATTAATACTGTTTTAAAGTTTCCTCCTCAGTATGGTGTAGCGGAGGTCCAACAAAAAATTATTGTATTAGGGTTAGGATTAGTAGGGTTAGGGTTAATCATGTTAAAAATTGGCTCATTATGAAGATTTTTCATTTAAACATTTACGACTTTTTTATACAGTTTTATATGTCAAAATATACAAAAAAACAGAAAATTAAATCACTTGTTAGAATATATTTACAAAGTTTTTTCCACGCATTTTTAAACTTTCTAACATCTTTCCTGCAGTTACAGGGTGAGTCTTTCTTCTGGTACCATAACAAATTAAAGGGAAGCAACATGTGGTATAACTTAAAATAGGATTTATTTAACAAAAATCATAGCTGGTTGGAGAGGAAAGGGAAAAAAAGAGAAGTTGACAGACAGAAAGAAAAGGGCTGGGTTGATGAGAAAAAGGTGGTGCATTTTAAGCTGATCTGATGTCATTCATGGAGACACTGGCCAGCTCCCTCCACTTCCAATCAGCACCAATGAGAAGATCTAGAGCAAGGATGCTAAACCCCAAAGCAATAGCCTTGGGCCATAACAGGACGCAGAACTGCAGGAGGGTGTTGGAGTCCCAGCATGTGAAAGGTCTGACCTCGAAGAGGGGGTGTCAAGAAAATCTGAGATCATCCCACTTCCCCATGCTGGAGATTTTAGTTAACAGTAACAACAAATAAAGTTACCTTTAAAATTGGTCACACAAGTGACATCTAGTAGACCCAGACTGCAATAAAATATATCTGGTTGTGTGTTTTGTTTTTGTCTCCTGCAAACAGCTTTAATTATACTTATTTTTCTATCTAATCATCAGAAATCATAGTCAGAGTGTCAGGATCCAGGGTTGTTAGGTTCTCGCTGTAGGGGTTTTGGGTGCGTGCACCACCTCTGTTTTCCCACCAGATGGCGCCATCAGTTTGACGGAGGGCGTGGATGACTTCATCCACCACACGGGCCTCGGATTAGCTCATCAGCGACAGGTTTTGAGGAGCGGTCTGCCAGTCCTTCGGCGCCTGAGTGTTGCCCAGTTTATGGTACCTCCGAGCCTCCTCGAGTTTGTACTCTGTTTTTTTTCTCGCTGTCTGACCCGTCAGTGATTCCTTTGTCTACCTCTCCGCAGTCCCCTTGGATTTCCTCGACTGGAAGACGCGCCGTTTCTCGCTCCTCCCGGATCCCGAGCCTACCTGTCTGCCCTCCAGCGCGCACACGCCCCACCCAAACCCCAGAGAGACCGGACCCTGGACCCAGCAGCCACCCGCCGCTAGCTTTTCACTGCTCTGCTCAAGTAAGATCTGTCCAGTGTTATCGACACTCCACTTTCCCACAGCCTTCGAACTCACCTTTCCTGCTCTGTACTCCTAGTGAGCCGATCGCTTCCTGATCCTTCCCTTCCCGTGGACCAGACCAGAGTTTTCATTCCCTGCCACTGTGTTCCGTTTCTTTCTCAAATAAATTCACTATATTTTCACCCACCGTATCCTAGTGTTGTGTTCTGCATATGGGCTAGAATCAAATCCTCCCAATATGACAGAACACTCAGGCCAACCACTCAGCCCCGCAGACGCAATACGGAAAACGCTGACAGAGCAGCAGTCTGTAATCCAAACACACGAGTCTGCAATACGACAACTCCACACCCTACAAACAGAAACCAACCAGCGTCTGGCAGATCTAACAACTTTCCTTCAAAACTCTCTACCGCAGATCCCGGCTACAGCTCCTGCTCCCTCTCCCGCTCCGGCTCCGGCACCCTCAGTTCAGCCCGTGTTTTCCGACGTCCGACTTCCTGGGCCGGAGAGATTTTCAGGTGACCGGAATAAATGCAATGGTTTCCTCCTGCAATGTTCAATAATATTCAATCATTCCCCGCAAAGTTTTACACACGATGGCGCTAAAATAGCTTACGTCCTGTCTCAGTTATCTGGTCAGGCCTTATTATGGGCAGAGACTCGTTTTCCTAATCCCACTGATTATGGTTGTTCCTTCGAGAGTTTCATCAAGGAGTTTAAGCTGGTTTTTAGCCTTGACTCCGACAAGGCTCATAACTCACGAGAGATATGGGACTTAAAGCAAGGCAAGCAGACAGCGGCAGACTTTGCCATAGAGTTCCGTATTAAAGCGGCTGCTACAGAGTGGAATACAGCAGCGTTAAAAAGCGCATTCTACCATGCACTTAATGAGTCGCTAAAAGACGAACTAGCCACCCGGACGAACCAGGACTCTAGAAGAGCTAATTAACCTGGCGATCAGACTCGACAACCGTCTCCGCTCCCGAGCCAGAATCAGAGATCGACGCAGCTCACCGGAGAGAGACAATGGTGGAGCTAGCATCGCCCGGGTCGCCCTCCTCTTCGTGCTCCTCCGGCACCGGAGCCCATGCAGTTAGGGGGAACGCGGCTCTCACCGGAGGAGCGACAACGCCGTTTCTCTGCTCGACTCTGCATTTACTGTGGTTCCCCCGGTCATTTCCGTGCGTCGTGTCCCCTCCGTTTAAACTCCCAGGTCCGCCAGCAGAAGTGAGGAAGCTGGCGGACCACCAGAATAGTGAGAATCTTCCTCAGCTTTTACTGCCTGCCACTTTAAGATATGCGACTCAGTCTTTCTCCGTATCTGCCCTAGTTGACTCAGGTTGCGAACAAAATTTATTGGACGAGGCCTTAATCAAACAAATGGGGGTGGAAACCGTGCCGTTGCCGGTTCCGTTCAAGGTCACCGCCTTGGATGGGAAAACCTTACAATCCATAACTCACCAGACCAAACCTATCCACCTAATAATATCCGGCAATCACACTGAATTTATTTCATTTTTTGTGTTCCCCACCTCCAACTCTCCAATGGTTCTCGGTTTTCAGTGGCTTCAGCAACACAACCCTCAGATTGATTGGTCAGCTAAGCGCATCACCTCCTGGTCCGTCCGTTGCCACTCTTCTTGTCTCCATTCAGCGCTACCTCCAGGACCACCACCGTTCAGCAGCAGGAGGTTGACCCCGTAGACCTGTCTACCATACCTACCGATTACCATGACCTTTCGGCCGTTTTCAGTAAGTCTAAGGCGCTCTCTTTACCACCGCACCGTCCCTACGATTGCTCCATCGATCTGCTCCCCGGAGCTCCTTTGCCGTCCAGTCGCCTTTACAACATTTCCCGTCCGGAGAGAGAGGCCATGGAAAGATATATTAAAGAATCCTTGGCTGCTGGAATAATTCGCCCGTCTTCATCACCCTTAGGAGCGGGTTTTTTCTTTGTTGGAAAGAAGGACGGGTCCCTTAGGCCCTGTATTGATTACCGAGGCTTAAACAACATCACTGTGAAAAACAAATACCCGTTGCCCTTACTATCATCAGCGTTCGAACCCGTTCATGAGGCCACCATCTTTTCTAAGTTGGACTTAAGGAATGCCTACCATCTGCTTCGCATCCGTGAGGGAGATGAGTGGAAGACTGCTTTCAAAACGCCTATTGGCCATTTTGAATATCTGGTGATGCCATTCGGACTGTCTAACGCCCCCGCTTTTTTTCAGGCCCTGGTCAATGATGTTCTCCGAGATTTCTTGAATGTGTTTGTGTTTGTTTACCTCGATGACATTTTGATTTTTTCCAAGTCCTTAGAAGAACACAGACATCATGTCCGGCAAGTGCTGCAGCGGCTGCTCGAGAACAGATTATATGTTAAGGCTGAGAAATGTGCTTTTCATCAGACCTCTGTGTCATTTCTCGGATTCATATTAGGGGGCGGACAGGTGAGGCCTACGGAGGAGAAGATCCGGGCGGTTCTGGAATGGCCGACTCCTGAGACCCGCAAGCAGTTACAGCGCTTTCTTGGTTTTGCCAACTTTTACCGGAGATTCATTCGAAATTATAGTCAGACTGCTGCACCCCTTACAGCCCTGACCTCTTCTAAGATCTCGTTTCGTTGGACCTCTGACGCAGAGGCTGCGTTTACTCGTCTGAAGCACCTCTTTGCAAATGCACCAGTTCTCATTCAGCCGGATCCAGCCAGACAATTCATCGTGGAGGTCGACGCATCAGATATGGGAGTAGGAGCAGTCTTGTCTCAGATTTCACCTCTCGACAATAAAACTCACCCCTGTGCCTTTTTTTCACGTAGGTTAACTCCCCCCGAGAGAAACTACGATGTGGGGGACCGAGAGCTGCTCGCCATAAAGCTGGCCTTGGAGGAATGGAGACATTGGCTGGAGGGGGCGGAACTCCCCGTGCTGGTCTGGTCCGATCACAAGAACCTTTCCTATCTGCAGTCAGCCAAAAGGTTAAATGCCCGACAGTCACGCTGGTCACTTTTCTTCTCTCGTTTCAACCTGTCCATATCCTATCGTCCTGGTTCCCGAAATATAAAACCAGATGCCCTGTCACGTCTCTATTCTTCCGATGATTCCGACAACCTTCCTGCCCCCATTCTGCCACCCAGCTGTACCGTGGGAACTGTAACTTGGGAGATTGAGGATATCATCAAGCAAGCACAACAAAACGAACTGACACCAGACTCCTGTCCACCCAACAAAATATTTGTTCCGTCCTCCGTACGCACCCGCTTTCTTCAATGGATCCACGCCTCCAAATTTTCAGGACACCCTAGGGTGAGCCGGACTATCGCCTTAGTCAACAGAAGGTTCTGGTGGCCGTCAGTCCACAAGGATGTCCGTGAGTATGTCCTGGCCTGCACTACCTGCTCACGCAACAAGTCCTCCCATCAACCTCCGCCTGGTCTCCTCCAACCTCTTCCCATTCCTAAACGCCCCTGGTCCCACATCGCCATAGACTTTGTTACTGGGTTACCTCCATCTAAGGGCATGACAGCCATCCTCTCCATAGTCGACCGGTTCTCCAAGGCCTGCCATCTCGTTCCTCTTCGCAAACTTCCTTCTGCCTTCCAAACGGCTCAACTTCTAGTGAAACATGTATTCCGGCTTCATGGCATCCCGGTGGACATACTGTCAGACAGAGGTCCACAATTCACCTCTCAGGTTTGGCGCAATTTTTGTTCAGCATTAAATGCTAAGGTTTCACTAACTTCAGGTTTTCATCCCCAGTCCAATGGGCAGACTGAACGCCTCAATCAGGACCTTGAAGCCACTCTCCGCTGTTTCACATCCTCCAATCCTTCCGACTGGTTCCAGTATCTTCCTTGGGTAGAGTATGCTCACAATTATCACGTCTCATCCTCCACAGGCTTATCGCCATTCGAAGCATCCATTGGCTACCAACCACTCCTGTTGCCGTCCGATGAGGAAGACATCTCAGTCACTTCTGTCCGTCACCACATCCGTCGCTGCCACAAGGTTTGGAATTCCACCATCCACAATCTTAACCTCACCACAGAACAAATCAAGCGGCAGGCGGATCGTAAGAGGCGTCCTGCCCCTGTTTACTCACCCGGTCAACAAGTCTGGTTGTCGTCCCAGGACATCCCGCTCAAATCTGTGTCTAAGAAGCTCTCTCCCCGTTACATTGGCCCTTTTGAAATTGAAACGATAATCAACCCATCCGCTGTTCGCCTCCGTCTACCCACTTCCCTCCGCGTCCATCCCACCTTCCACGTCTCTCGGATAAAGCCCGTCCGGACCAGCCCGCTCTGCCCTCCAGCCGAACCCCCTCCGCCTCCCGTGACATTGCTGGTCATCCCGCCTATTCCGTCCGCCGGATCGTGGACTCCCGTCGACGAGGTCGGGGTTGGCAATATCTTGTTGACTGGGAGGGCTACGGTCCGGAGGACCGTTCTTGGGTTCCGGGTTCATTCATATTGGACCCGTCACTTGTCTCGGATTATCGTGCGTCGCTTCCCTCCAGCTCGTCTAGGCCGCCAGGTGGCGGTCATTAGGGGGGGGTACTGTCAGGATCCAGGGTTGTTAGGTTCTCGCTGTAGGGGTTTTGGGTGCATGCACCACCTTTGTTTCCTCACCAGATGGCACCATCAGTTTGACGGAGGGCGTGGATGACGTCATCTCCCACACCGGCCTCGGATTAGCTCATCAGCGACAGGTTTTGAGGAGCGGTCTACCAGTCCTTCGGCGCCTGAGTGTTGCCCAGTTTTGGTACCTCCTAGCTACCTCGAGTTTGTACTCTGTGTTTTTCTCGCTGTCTGAGCCGTCAGTGATTCCTTTGTCTACTCACCTCTCCGCAGTCTCCCCTTGGATTTCCTCGACTGGAAGACGCGCCGTTTCTCGCTCCTCGCGGATCCCGAGCCTACCTGTCTGCCCTCCAGCGCGCACACGCCCACCCAAACCCCCAGAGAGACCGGACCCTGGACCCAGCAGCCACCCGCCGCTAGCTTTTCACTGCTCTGCTCAAGTAAGATCTGTCCAGTGTTATCGACACTCCACTTTCCACAGCCTTCGAACTCACCTTTCCTGCTCTGTACTCCTAGTGAGCCGATCGCTTCCTGATCCTTCCCTTCCCGTGGACCAGACCAGAGTTTTCATTCCCTGCCACTGTGTTCCGTTTCTTTCTCAAATAAATTCACTATATTTTCACCCACCGTATCCTAGTGTTGTGTTCTGCATATGGGCTAGAATCAAATCCTCCCAATATGACACAGAGAGAGAGATGAGACAGGAAGAGCAGGTTTCCTGGAAAAAGAGGAAGTAAGTTTCCAGCTTGTAGCTGTATAAAAATAGCTGAGACTATTCCTTGTTTAAAAGCATAAAAGTTTTAAAGGATAAAATCTAAACATTTTGAGTAATTAGATAAGATTTAAAGTAAAGTACTGATATTAATATTGGTTTACTTATAACAATACTTACTTACACTTGGAAAAACGTACAAGTAAAACAAGTAACTGTAACTTTGGTATCAAATAAGAAAAAACTAAAAGGTTGTGGTTATCATAATATTATAAATGAATGTTAAATCAGAAAAGCTAAAAGGTTATAGATGTGATTTTGACATTGAACTTGAAGAGAAGTAAAATGTGTAACTGCAATTAAAAATCACTGATGTGTTGGAAGTAGATAATAGGTGAAAGGTTAGGGGTAAAATGGGGACTAACGGAAAGCAGAGATGACCAATGTCTTATTAGGACCTAGATTGTTGAACAACTTAAACGTGTCAGAGAACGGACAACAACGTTGAGCAACCCTGGCTTAGACTTAGACTAGACTGAGACTCATACTTTATTGATCCCTTGGGAAGACTCCCTCAGGAAATTGAAGTTACCAGCAGCTTACAGGCAGAAAAGTGGCATGCAGTGCGTAAAATACAAAAGAATACAAATACAAATTAAATACAAAGGTACACACTAAATGTGAGTAGCCAAACCTAAATTAAGCAAAAATAAATAAGAAATAAGAATATAAATAAAATATAAATAAAAAATATAAATACAACACAAAAGAGACATTAGCCAAGACATCAGGACAAGTCCTCTAAGACCTTTTGTCCTGATGGCTGAAAAGATGACATGAGTTCATCTGTCCAAACAAGTTACCAATAAAGCAAGCACAGCAACAGTGTTAGCCAATGAAAATGTACTGAAAGCGGGTATAAACCCTATATAAGGGGAGAGCAAAAGAGGAATCTTTGGTTGGATCCTCCAGGCAGCTTCGAGCCAAGACCAAGATGGACAAAGAACTCTTCAGCTGAAGAAGAGCCGGGGCCATAGAGCCGAAGACTGTCCTGCACATGGGGACCAACCCATCAGCCCTGCAACATGTGGCTTCAAATCGCACTTCTCTCATCGGCTGGGTTCAGACCCCAAAGACAATGGTGAAGACCAAGGTAAAGATTAAGACCAAGGCAAAGATAAAGACCCAAGTCCTGTGTGACGTCATCATCCATGCAGAGATTACAGCTCATCAGACCAACAGAGATCCCTGCCTTCGTCAATCAACCTCCTCCTCCTGCTGCAACACCTTCTTCATCATCGATCCAGTTCTGGGGTTCGAAACACCAAACTTCGTCTGTCTCTCTAAAGGTTCCCATTTTAGTTCTTAGTGTCAGCGTTAGGGAAATATAGGCTAGATGATTGATTTTTTTATTTATTTGATTATTCTGCTACTTAATTAAGCTGTACTGACCCTTGCAAAATTGCTTTACCAATAAAATAATAGCATAAAGAAAATCTAAAATATGTTGTGGACATTCAATTAATGAGTCATCTCAAAGTTCTTTGATGGTGGTAAAATAGCTGTGATGTTTGATTCTGGGGAAGAAAAGTAGGTAATGTTTTATAGATTTTTTTAGCCCAAATCTAAAACAACATCCTTGGGACTCACCCGAGTCATTAAAACCATCCTGGTTCAGTAACAAGTGGAAGTTGTAATAAAGAGAAGGAGCGACCGTTAACAGATGTGCTCTGTGAAACTAGTTGGCTGTAGGCTGCTCAGTCTGGCTAATTCACGGGGGAAGAAGGGTGAGACATCTGGATGTAGGTCGTAGAAATCATGCGAATCCTTTCTCGAAACCAGCTTAAATGGAGTTTACTTCAGTTCTGGATAGGGTAAATCTCAGCAGATTTAGGAAACTCAATTTACCCTTTAGATGGAGAGATGGTAGCACATCTCCCCTCTCAAGAGAGGAAGAAGTGACTGAGAGAGTAGAGAGTGAAGGAAGGGGGGAGGAGAGGTGTCGTGGCAACTACAGTTATCAGATGTAAAATATAGCAGAGATGCAGCGATCAGACCTTTTCTGTCCAACACTGATCTCCAGTTTTTATTCTGCTCTGATCTTTCAGTTCCTGACATTTTTTCTCCAAAGAGTAAAATGTTCTGCGGGTTCTGAGTTTCAGGTAGAAGTTCTGAATGAAACAGAAAATATTAAGATTTTCCCACTTTATGCTTCAAAGCATTGACCTCTGACCTTCATGGGAGGGGAATGTTTTACTTTAACTAGGATTTTCTGAAAGGCAGAGTTGATGAAAAAATATTTTTAATGCAAATATTTAAATTTAAACAGGGAAAGAACAAAATGAGCAGCAAATGAACCAAATGCAGAAGAAAAAATGTTTTATTTAAAACACATTAAGAAGAACTACATCAAATTTACAAAAGGAAGATTTAATATTCAAATCTGACATGTTGAGAAAAATAGGAGCCAATAGAAACAGAAAATGATCAGATTGAGAAAAACTGATCAATATTTCAATAAAATCTGATGAATGAAAGGACAAGAAAAGAAAAATAACATCTTGATATTCAGTGTGAAGCTTTGAATGGAAACAAATAGAAAAACATGAGGATCCTGGAATAATCCTAAATAATTCTGGAATAATCCCAGTTTCCATCTTTAAAGGACAGGAAGAAGAAAAAGTTTCCAAGGACTCAATCAGAATCATTTCACCAAGAAATAGATTTTAGAGACTGAACTATCTGTTCAACAGTGAGAGAGTTTCTCTGACAAGACAAAAAACTTTAGACTTTTTAGACTCAAATCAGCTCAGAAACACTGAAGAGGAACCAGAACTGGACCACAAGAGCCGAAATCCAGGAATCAGAGGTTCAGTGAATGTGATGTTGAAGGTTTGGAGGAGGATCAGTGAGTCAGAGGAGACTCTGTAGAAGGACAGAATGCCAGCAGGACAGTCCACATACACTGCTACTCTGTTAGAGACAGAGGAGGAGAGACGAGTTCCTCTGTTATTGTGACAAACAGAGTAACCATAATCATCAGAGCAGATCAGACTCCAAGAATGATCATTACATCCAAACCAACAGTATCTACTGTCTCCTTTCCTCCTGATTCTTCTGTAACTCACTGATATATTAACATCTCCTCTCCACTCGACCCCAGTAACAGCGACCAGTCAGACCAGTTCTACACAGCAGCTGAGGACAGTAATCAAATCTGTCTGGATGATCAGGATATGACTGAAGCTTCTCCTCATATGTCACCTTCCTGTTGTCTTCAGACAGTTTGAGGAATCTGCTCACTGTGTTTGTGTCGATGGTGAGTTGACAGGAATCTGATGGAGAGAACAAACACAATCCAGCTGCAGTTATTGATCATTTATTGACACTTTGACTCCTGAATGAGTGATGTGACAGTTTGAAGATGGTTGAATGTGAGCTGCTTTGTTGTCATGAATCAGATGAAAAACACACTTACATTTCCATGGACCTGGAGTCAAGAATCGGCCTCCAGCAGGCTCCACCCTGAAAGGAGGAGGGGGGTCAGACCATCAGTCTCTTTCAGCAGCAAACCACTGGCAGCAGCCACAGAAGAACCTCCTCTGAAGCAGAGTATTTCTTCAGGTCAAACACATCCAGATCTTTTCCTGATGACACTAAGATGAAACCCAGAGCTGACCACTGAGCAGGAGACACTTTATCTGTGGAGAGACTTCCTGAACTCAGAGACTGTTGGATCTCCTTCACTAGAGAAACGATCATTCAGTTCATTCAGACAGTGGAACAGATTGATGCTTTTCTCTGCAGACACATTCTCACGAATTTTATTCTTAATGTACTGAACTGTTTTCTGATTGGTCTGTGAGCTTCTTCCTCTTTGTCATCAGACCTTGTAGGAGTCTCTGATTGGTCTGCAGTGAAAGTCCCAGGAGGAACCGGAGGAACAAGTCCAGGTGTCCATTTGGACTCTGTAAGGCCTGGTCAACAGCTCTGTGATGGAGAGACTTTAGTTTAGGTTTATTAAATAATCTAGATTTTTTAGATGTTTCTTTTTCTTCCATCAGATTGACACCAGAGTTGATGAAGGTCAGATGAACATGAAGAGCAGCCAGAAACTCCTGAACACTCAGATGGACGAAGCAGAACACCTTGTCCTGGTACAGACCTCTCTCCTCTTTAAAGATCTGTGTGAACACTCCTGAGTACACTGAGGCTGCTCTGATATCGATGCCACACTCTGTCAGGTCTGATTCATAGAAGATCAGGTTTCCTTTCTGCAGCTGATCAAAAGCCAGTTTTCCCAGAGACTTGATCATCTTCCTGCTCTCTGGACTCCAGTGTGGATCTGTTTCAGCTCCTCCATCATACTTGACCTTCTTCACTTTGGTCTGAACCACCAGGAAGTGGATGTACATGTCAGTCAGGGTTCTGGGCAGCTCTCCTCCCTCTCTGGTCTCCAACACATCCTCCAGAACTGTAGCAGTGATCCAGCAGAAGACTGGGATGTGGCACATGATGTGGAGGCTTCGTGATGTCTTCATGTGGGAGATGATCCTGCTGGCCTGCTCCTCATCTCTGAATCTCTTCCTGAAGTACTCTCCTTCTGAGGGTCATTGAACCCTCTGACCTCTGTCACCATGCCAACACACTGAGGAGGGATCTGATTGGCTGCTGCAGGTCGTGTGGTTATCCAGAGAAGAGCAGAGGGAAGCAGTTTCCCCCTGATGAGGTTTGTCAGCAGAACATCCACTGAGGTGGACTCTGTAGCATCAGTCAGGATCTCCTTGTTGTGGAAGTCCAGTGGAAGTCGACTCTCATCCAAGCCATCAAAGATGAACAGAACCTGGAAGTGTTCAAAGCTGCAGATTTCTTTGGTTTCACTAAAGAAATGATGAACAAGATCCACCAAGCTGAACTTTTTCTCTTTCAGCACATTCAGCTCTCTGAACG